ATATATATATATATATATATATATATATATATATATATATATATATATATATATATATATATATATATATATATATATATATATATATATATATATATATATATGATTCATATTGGCTATTAATTCAACAATTTTTAAGTTGGTTTATATGAGGAAAGAAAAAGATAACTATCTCACATTCAATCAAGGATTTAAATCTCAAATAATATATCTATAATTAGAGTATCAAAATATTGAATGATATATAACAAGTCAGATTTGGATTCCTCAAGATATAGAAACTTGGATATGGATTAGATTATCACAAGTTTGGATGTTAGGGTTTGACATATGACTAAAATTATATCATTCATTGATATGCTTGATAAAGGTTCATTCGATGCTTAAGTTAGTAATGAGTTAAGAGGAGTCGAGAATTACGAGAGGATATTTTCTTAAACAAGATCAAGAATGCATCATTGAGATCTTTAATAATGTGTCAGGTTGATCATTAGGTTTAAAAAGTGTTAATTCTATAAAATGATTAAGTAGAATAGTTAACCATCATTCAATCATAATATCACGAGCCAAATCATAAAGTAATTATTCTCGTTAACACTAGGTTACATCGATATTAGGGATCACCAACTATGACCAAATGAACCATTCTATTGGTATCATCCCTATCAGATTATGATTCAACTAATTAGTTAGGTTGTTTATATGTTAGAGACTTAGGTATAATATCATCAATAATATAAATAGAAAATAAATAATAGTCGAATCTGAATGGCATTGATAAATATCAATTTTGGATAGCATCGATAAATATTGGTTGATACATATTACTCCGATCATATTTAATATCTTAAAGATTAGGGTGAAATGCCACAATTACTCTTACCAAAGCACTTGTCAAAATTTTGGTAATTCACCTACAAACCCATGAAAGAAAAATTATAAGATATTTATTTAAGAGGGAAAACACGCATGTCTTTAGAAGAAAACAAAAATTAAAACACCAAAGTGGTTGTGTTCTTGAGAACATGCAAGATTGTAAGGAATTGGAAGCCATCTACTAACTCGATGGTGGGACTTTAGTGAAATGACATCAAAGATTTGGGTTCATAAAGAAACAAGTGGCAATTCAATTTCTAAGCAATTTCCTAAACATAATGGAATTATATAATGCGAATAATTTTTCCTCTTTTTTTTCCAAAAGAAAAAGTAGAATATATTAGCTCAAGTCATGAATATTTTTTTATTAGTTTTTGACATGTATGAATAAAAAAATAAATAGTTACTAGTTAATTTTTTTTCATGATAAAAGATAAATGATGGAGACGGAATTCGAGGTCGAAACCTTATGATATAATATCAAATCTTTATCAGTCATACTAGTTAATATTTTAGTTTTAAAATTCTACACAACCTAAGATAAGCAAATTAAGCACACCATTACCAGATTAATCATACTATTATATTTCATTAAAATAAATTAATTGCATAATCACTGCCAACCATAAGAAGAAGATTTTGATTTGAAGTACTGCAGAATTTGCATAGCTAATAATATGAGCTCAATGTGTACAAACTCAATTGAAAATTCTTTTATGGTAGGTTTGATATTTTTCATAGAGACTGGATGTTGATGTCAATTCAAAAGTAGCATACTTCAATTACACATATTACAAGCTTATTTAAATGTTTGAATAGATATAATGAAACAATTCATTTGGGTACCTCACTACTTAAATGGTGCCATGGAGAAATATTTGATACATGATCATCATGTAAACCTTTTTTTGTAATAGTATGGAGAGGCCATTAAATATTTTGGGTTTTTCATATCAAAGTTGCTCATGACAGTCACTGCAATGACCTATTTGTGGTCATCACATATTCTTCATGAAGACTGCATTAGACAACTCTTGCTTTATTCCACTTGAGAACATCCAAACAACATAAATAACATGTACATAAAAAGAACATATATACTTTGAATTCATTTTATTCAGCTTGGGTGGAAGTCTCTTCACCTCACAAAAATGCAAATGCTGAATAATGTCAGCTTGGGTGATGGAGACTTATATAAGTAAGAGGCAATAGCGGAATAGGCCACCGCGGAAAGAGGCAAAGTTGGTTCGACCACACCGTCGCTTTCGGGTCAAATGCAATCGTATGGGTTCAATCCAAGCCCAACTCATTTCACGGCATTGTGGTCTCTTTCGGGTGCCTCCGATCCTTGAATCGACCACACCGTCGTGTTGCTCCGCTTATGAGTTCCGTTCGGAATGTGGCGCTGCCGCCACCATCTATTTATTTATCCGTTTATTGGTTCCTGAGGAGAAGAGAAAAAGGGCGCCCTCTCCTCTCCGCTTCTCTCTTACCCCTTTTTAAGGCTTCCCAGCTTCCTTTACCTTTGGATCATTATCTAGGGCCAGAGCCAGAGCAAGACCCAGAACGAGAGGAAGATTAATGGAACCTACGGCCGCTGCCGCTGCAGCCCCCTCCTCTGCCGCTGATCTCTACCTCCGCAACATCTCGTTTCTCCTCTCCAACATACTGCTACCCCCAGGTAGGTGATCTACAACAATGTTCCTCCCGTTATGCTCGAGTAATGTTTGGTGTAACAAACTCAGACGGCGTTACCGTTCCCGGCGCGCTCGAGTTCCTCAAATGGCGCGAGGGCGGCGAGTTCCTGCGCTGGATTGGGGGCATCTGGCGGGAGGTGCGGCCGCGGGCGGTCGCGCCGGCGCTGCGGGTCGCCGTCGCCGTGTGCTTGACGATGTCGGTGATGCTACTTGTCGAGGTGGTCTCCATGGCCGCCGTCAGCCTCGCCATCAAGCTCCTCCGCCGCAGCCCAGAGAGGCGCTACCGCTGGGAACCAATCGCGGCCAGGGATGACCCGGAGGCGGCCAGCCTCGCATTCCCCTTGGTGCTCGTCCAGATTCCCATGTACAACGAGAGAGAGGTAGGCCGGTGATGCAAACGGGCTCGTACGAATTTAAATTCGTTTGTAGTTTAATGGGATTGACGGTGTGAAGAAATCCGCAGGTTTACAAGCTCTCAATCGGGGCCGCCTGCGCGCTCTCCTGGCCGTCCGATCGGATCATCATCCAAGTGCTAGACGATTCCACAGACCCTACCGTCAAGGTATTGTTACTGTTTGTAACAGTTTATAACGGTTTCAGTCTCTTCCTGTGGTGATTATTCATGTATGGGCATGGGTGTCTCGGTTCGCCAGTAAAGGACGGTCCATCGTGTTACACATGTCAGCATGGACAAAAAGATACAAGACAACAAATAAGAAAATATTCGTAATGGCTATTACTAAATATACTTTTGACTTTTAGTTTGACAGTTTTAATAAAAATAAACAAATTTTAATTTTGGTATAATCAAATTTCACGAACATATCTCTGAATTTTTATTGTTCTGATTAATAATTAATGTTTTTAGTTGCTACGATGTTAGGTTTCGCAAAGAATGATTATTATTTTCCAGTTTTATAACTATTATAATGGTAAGCTACGAAAGGTTCTAGCTGGTATTTAAAACTATGCTTTGGCAACTCCACGGACGGTATGGGGAATATTAATTTATCGAGTGGCTGTGGATCGAAGGCCAAGGTAAATACTGTTGTGCTGTTTCACATGGAAAGCGTTACTGTTACGCTGATCGGTCATTCCACGTGAGGCTGGTGGCCCATTCACGTACAGGCTGTGTCTTGGAGCGGAGAATACTCTAGTTTTTGGACTTCGGTGTTCGTGCACATAATATAAAGTAGGAGCGGATTGGCGAGCTCTGGCACCTTCTACCATAGTTTTTGGACTGTCTTCGCAGTCAATTATCATACGATTTGGCGAGATCTATCAGATAACTGGTGCGAATTACGAGACATTCTACTTCATTCTTATTAACTGTTAGTTAATTATTATAGATGAATAACTGATGCATGCAGCGGTTGTTATTTTCATATATGCATTTAGTAATGCGGACGCGAGGGAATACTCTGGATGTCGCCACGTTGATCAGCACTTGAAACAATCTTCCATTGTATGAAGTCTTTAGAAGATTTATGCTATTGGTGTACCGGGTAGTAAGCTGATTTTTCTTAGTATTAAAAATAATAAAAGAAAATACTATCAGTCTTTAGTGGGGTTGATAAATTCTGATCTGTAACCGTCCAAATGATGTTTGTAACCCTAGTCATCAGCAGCATATTGATTCATGAACCATGACCTAAATTAGATAGTAAGCCTAATGTATACTTGATCATTTAGTTGCTTGGATAATATCCTTGCTTTTGTTTTGCTTGAAATTTTGCTATATATTATGCTTCCTACATATAATATGTATTGGATTTGGATTAATCAGTTTCATTAGGTCATAGAATTGGAATTGTAACTAGGAGTGGTCAGCGATGAATGATTGGTAATTATCGGATCCATGGTATCGAATTAGATGAGAAAAATAATTTAAAATTCAAAAATATAAAATTACAAAATTAAAAAAAGAAATTATAAACTGTAAATTTTTTTTTTAAATATGTAAAAGCACTAAAATAGAACATGTAGAAATATTAGTACTATGTTAAATTTTCATGATCATTTATTTGAACTATATCACATAGCATATTTGTAAACAAGTTGATAGATTGAATCAAATTATAAAGCATAATATTGGACAAACTTAAATACCACAAAAATCAAACTGTTTTTAATTTTAAAAATAATTTAAACATTTTTTATTTTGTTCTTTAACAATAAAATATTTAATACAGTATTTTTAAGATTATATAATTTTTATAGTAAAATATTCTATTTAGTCGTTTTAACAATTTATGTACCTTATAGTATTTCTAATGATATAACTATTCTTATAAATGTTTTATATGTTTTATATATTAAATTGTAGTTTTTGAATCTTCTTTTGTTTACCTTCTACTATTTTTAATGCCCAAGAATGGTATTGCTGCACCAAGTTATCTTATGTTGCTGCCATTTATTTTCATTAGTATTCCTACATTTATTTTTGCTAAATTTTCATTTCAGGACATGGTGGAGGTTGAATGCAGGCTTTGGGCAAACAAAGGAATCAATATAAACTATGAGGTTAGGGAGAACAGGAGAGGGTATAAAGCTGGTGCCTTGAAAGAAGGAATGGAACATAGCTATGTCCAACAATGTGAATTTGTTGCTATCTTTGATTCTGATTTCCAACCAGAACCTGACTTTCTCATGAGGACTGTTCCTTTCATGGTGCATAATTCAAAGATTGCACTTGTTCAAGCACGGTGGCAGTTTGGTAAGCCTGTATTCGATTTAAATATAAGTATTTGATAGAACCCTTACAGATTCTAAACTTGGGGTTGATCTCTTTA